TAATTACAAATTTCAAACGAGCCATAATGATTTCACAGTTGCATATGGGAAATTGTTAAAAAGTCGTCAAATGCCCATTGAATAATTAAAGTTAAAAGGCAGTTAATTACAAATTTCAAACAAACCATAACAATTTTAGAGTTGAATGTGGGAAACAGTTAACAAACCATCAATGGATCATCGAAAAATTTAAGTTAACGAGCAGTTAATTAAAAATTTCAAAAGAGCCATAACGAGTTTACCGTTACAAGTTACTTTGCCATCATATTCGTTAAAGGGTCAATAACGTGCCACAATTTCAATGTTTGTTGGGAAATTCGTAAATGTAAAGTATATTTACGGATTTATTACTGCCCATCTCTAAATTCCCGCGATATAACCAAACTACAATTTTCATTTAAAGACAACTCATCTGAGTCAGACTCACTTGAGTTTGGTTTATAAATATGGCCAGACATTTTAAAATGGTGCTAAAAGTATAAACATGCAATTGATGTACAAAGAAGCCCGTGTGAAAAGATCTACTACATTAAACGTAGCATAAACATTCCGTCAGTTTATTTTACTGATAAAAAATATGGCAACCGAAAAAGGTGCTTACCAGCGATAAAAGAACATTTTATGGTATTTGATTATCATATATTATTATGAAATAAACGTTCTAAATTTCAGTCCATTTACAATATATAAAACATCATAAAACTGCTCAAATCCGTCACAATTATATCAAATTGGAAAAATATATCATTTGTTCATATTCCTAACTTCATATAATGACACAGTCATTTATTAAACCATGACAACTAAAGTCTCGGAAACACCCTTAGATAAGGAAATACCCCAAGTCTATTCGCTTTCTTTATTGTTTAAATGTAAAATGGATGAAACAAAAAGTTACTAAATTTTGGCACGTCGTAGATTAATTACATTATGTTATTTATGTCAGGTGACAGTTATCAAAATAATTTTGAATTTGCCAATGTGTTAAAAAAATTTATATTTTGATATTTCCAAAGTATTTAACAAAATGGTGAAACGATCAATCAAAAACTTGGTAAAATTTGAATATACACAAAACTTTTATATTTTTACCTGAAGAAATCCTATTTTTTTATATTTTAATAATGACATTTTAGGTTAATTTAATAATTCATTAAGAGTATAGTCAGTTATTAACCGAAATATCGGTTACTCGGTCTAAAACTAACCGCCCTGCCTTGACATTCCTGAAAAATCGGTTAAATTAGGGACGCGGTCACCTGAAAATGGCACATACTTTGATTACTATACGGGGCAAGAGAGAGGTCCGACACGCCCAACATAGGTCGCGGCCATTTTGATTCCTATGACACAGTTTATAGCTAAAGAATCAGATCGCTCACTCTGCGTCGGCACTTTTGATCTCAATGTTCCAGTTTATACACTGCGCAACTCGGATAATACAATATATGACAACCGCCTATAATAAAACAGCAGTCTTCTGCGTATCCTGAATTTGTATTGACACTGACAGCAGCAAGCAAAATATCAGGTGCGTTTTATTCATCCACTTCTGCTTCCGGAATTGTCGGTTTAGTCGTTTTAACCTGTCAGATTAAAACAAGAAAACCGACAATTCCGAAGCAGAAGCGGATGATTAAAACGCACCTATTAAAAATATTGCGCCAAGATGTAGGCAACACGTAATAAGGGTTCAAAATGGCGGAGTTTTCCATCTCCTTTTAAAAGGCACTCAGAAAGCTGCGCAGTGCGACCATTCTCCGTATAGTAAAAGAAAATCAAAGTATGTGGAAAATGGTGACTCAAACGTCAATTCACTAACCTCTATATTTTTACGGTTACTATTAAGTCAAATGTCAATGTCACAAAAATTACGTAAATTTCGGCCATGGTCCAAAAGTAACCAAGAAATTAGTTCTTTTCAGGAACCGCTGTCCGTTATTAACTGAAATATCGGTTACTCGGTCCAAAACTAACCGCTCTGCTTGACATTCCTGAAAAATCGGTTAATTTAGGGACGCGGTTACCTGAAAATGGTGACTAAAAACGTCAATTCATTAACCGCTATATTTTTACGTGATCATCGAGCTTATGTGGATTGAAAGAACGGCTATGGATTTGTTAGCTGTGGTATTTTTCGCTTTTTGCTTTCACTAGAAAATAAACCATGTTCTCATTTCTGTCTGCCATTTTTTTACAAATATTTTGTGCTCTTAATAATCAAACACTTAAGTACCAATAGGAATATTAAGAATACATATAAGTGAAATATGAAAATGTAATTAATTGATTTAAATGTTGTACAATATGTATGATTTAATTAATACTATAAAATGCATGTTTATTTCTATATGGTTAATATTGCACAAAAATTTTGATTAAAAATATATTTTTAAATGTATAATTCACTAGACATGCTAATTTGGAGAATTTCCTATTCGAAGCCACATACATGTTTCCTATTATAATTTTTATAAGTTTTTAATTGTGGAGATTCTGAAATATTTAGCTTGATAACTAAACTTTGGTTGTTCTTGTCGTGGTCAGCTGTTAACACTATTCTGAAATATTAACAAAGGTTTGTCGATCTTTTTTGCCAGCTTTGTTAACCTATTGTAGGTACTCTCCGTCTTAAATTCTTCCGAAATTAAAAATATTTGTGTTTTAATCGATTCAGCTCTGAATGTAAACACCGGCAACATTGTAATTAGAAAGAAAAATCGATTTTTATATAGAACATCCAAAATATGTCATAATACAAATTAACAAATTTAAACATATTTCATTAAATGATTTTACATTATAGTTAACATGGCATTTTAATGATAATTTCTCTATTTTTTAATAATTTTATAATAGGTAGATCAGAGCAAAAATATCGATTTGTAGAATACATCGATTATAAACAATATAGTCGTATCGTATCATATCATTAGTAATTTTTGAATTTTCTACTCAAAAAATGGTAAAAACTTCCAAAATATAAAACAAACAAAAATATGGTACCGAAATATATATATTCTGTAGAACGTTTTCTCAAATTTTTGTAAAAATCGGTGTTTTGTATGTACTCAAATTTTTGCAAAACTTTTATCCTAAACGTAGTTTCCTATTTTAAGAGACACAAATCTATTTGAGAGGCTCTTGGAAAGAGATACAATCAAATGGCTGCAGAGGTATTAAATATTTCGTAGAAAACTATATGTCTAAAAATGTAAGCCAAAGTAAAACAAAAGTCAATTCTTTAATATTAAGTAAGTTGAGGCAAGTTATATATATAAGACATGTAACAATAAAAAAAATATCGCGACGAATTGAGAACCTCCTCCTTTTTTGAAGTCGGTTAAAAATCGTTACATAAACGATTTTCGGAAGAAATGCCTGATGTGAAATGTTCTGCACGATCAATTAATATATGTATTCGAAAAATTGGCTTTCGCTTAAAAATAAATAACAACACACAGTTTTTATTGGAACGAACATCGAATATACCGTTTTTGAAAAATTTTAACAAAGAGATAGAGCTGAGTAACTTTAAGCCTATATTTATGGATGAGACGTGGGTATATAGCAAGGGAAGTGACAGAAAAAGTTGGCAAGATGGAACGATGCCTACTGAAAGTAAAAAACAGGAGATGGAATTCGATACATAATTGTCCATGGTGGCAATAAAGAAGGGTTTATAAAAATGTAGACCTCTCATTTAAAAGTCAAACAAAAAGCGGGGTTTACCATAATAATATGAATACACAAAATTTTGAAAATGGTTTAAGATGAAAGGTATATCTAGTCTGGAACATCTTTCTTTGATTATAATCGATAATACCAGTTATCATTCACGGTACGCGAAATCATTTTCATGTTATAGTAGGACAAAAGATAAAATGGATGCAGAGAACATTAATTATCCAATCAATGATATGAAGTATCAGATATGGGAAGTTGTATGTCAAAATCTAATACGAAAAGAATTCCACCTAGATAGATATGTTAGAAATATGGGCATAAAATATTAAGAACTTCTCCATATCACTGCCAGTACAATGCGATAGTGGTGTGGTCAGAGTGCAAACGGTTTTATGACGAAAAAATTTTAATAACAAAGTCTTCACCGGAAGAAGTATTTTAGACTTTGTCAGAAGCTTCGAATAATGTTACCGAACCAGTGGGACAATTATATAAGACACACTAAAATCATAATTGTTTCCGATTAGGAAAAATACAAGCAATTAGATGTTTCTGATCTAGAACCAATTATTATTAATTTAGGTACAACGGTAAGTTATGATGATTCTGAATCAGAGTCCAGTTGTGAAGAAAATTATATTGATTAAAAAAAATTACAATTTCCAATAAATATTTTCTCTGTCTCTTGTTATAATATATTTATTTAACAAAGAATCTGTTTCACGAATTTGCACCAGTTTTTGGATTAGCTTTAAAAACTCTAAAAACCATTATCAGCTGGGAAATTTATTTATAAAGTACGAAAGTAAATTGTTCTAGTATTTGTAGACAAAATGTAAAACGTAAGCTTAATTTTTTCAAAGATACTTCTTGTATTCGTGTAAACACACCTTAATAAAGTTTACGCTGCTGAGCAACAACAAAGCGCAACTGAAATAGGAAACGTGCAAACTGTAACTAAAAATGCGGTATTCCTTGGGGTATTTCTATCACTTTACTTGCGAGTAACAATCATGAAAAATAATTGTAAATTTCATATTGTAGATACATTAAATGAAATTTAGACATTTTTATTGCAGTGATAGAAATTATCCGAATATTTACAATTACTTCCTTCTATAAATGCCATAAAACAATATTTCCTAATAAACTCAATATGAGTGAATCTTATTCTATAAATTATAGTTACTAGAAATTAAGTATAGCTTCAAATTTTCTCTTTCTAACATGGCGACTGCAATTTCTATCAAACTAAATAAAACATTATTACATAAATCAAGAAATAGTAAGTATTCCTAAAAAATAGGTAAAAACTACCAGTATCTATATTTCTTTATGCAACTATTTCCCAAATCTACAACAATAATATGATTATCATTAGCGACAGCAACTCCACTAGGTCTTTTAAGTTTTGCATCATGGGAATCTATGTATTGATTAATAGAGTTGTCCGTTAAAGATAGCAGTTGGATATAAGTACGACCTTTTTGTTCTGTCCTTGTCAATAGAACTTTGTTTTCAGAGTCTATGGCTATTCCTCCATATCTTCCTTTACCTAAAATATATTTTAAATTAGTTATTCTTTCTGAGTGTAGGTGGGAAATTCGGAGTAGAGTTAAGAGTTATTCGTATTAATTATATTAATAATAATAATCTTCCTAGTCACCCTCTTACGAGTTCATTTATTAATATCCAAAAGGTTGGGACATGTCTTAATTATATACTACTAGGATAAAAATAAGATTTAATCTAACTTAGTCATGTTTAAAATCGTCTGGTTAAAAAAAATAATCTATATATAAGTAGGCAAGGACAAATTGGTTCTGTGCCATTTTTTTTTTCTCTTCTGTTTGTTAACCGATTTTCTTTTTTTAATTTTGTTTATTAACAAGCTTTAGTGTTATCAATAACAAAATTTGGAAATAGTTTTTTTCCCAACCTTCGATATGGGCCGAATCTGAAGCCAGCCAGCAACAGTTTACCAATGCATGTGAATCATTTTATTTACGATTTAATTCTAATGTATATTCTGTTACCTTCGTTTGAATTTTTTTACCCGTTTTAAAGATACCTAAGTAGTAGTAGATAATTTAATTTATTTTAAGAGCAAACTAAACACTTTGAAAATTTAAAATTCCTTCTGAGCCTCTACTTTAGTCCGATTTTTGTGAAATTTTTAGAAATACCAATAATAACAAACCTTGAAATTTGTGTAAATCTTCGAAATGTATTTATTTTGAAAATTTTTAAAAGGAATTTAAAAAAAAATATTTACGCGTCATTATGTATTAAATCTACGAAAATTTGGTGCTTTTTGTTGGAATAATTATCTAGTAGTTTTTAAATGGGACAATTTCCCACGTCTTTTTCTTAAACGTCTTTTGTAGAGTGCTGCCTTATCGTTGCACAACTTTAAAGCTCTATATATTCTCGAGAAACATAATATCGAACTATTTCTAGTGGCGCGGTTATAAATACAATTTTATGTTAGAAAAGCCTTAAAACATTTTCGCCAGAGGTCCCATTAGCTCTTAAATTCATTAGCGCTAGTCTAATGTACCTATATTATTTAATAAATTTATCGAAATATATATGAATTTGTTTTTATTATATTTTAGGAAGTAAAATTTGTATTCTTAAATTATGCACATCTATAATCATTTATACTTTAGTCGTTAATTTAACTGTTATTTTTCAGGTATTCCATACTTTTTGGTGCTACGTCCTACGTCCATTTTTTAAACGTTTACATTGGAAACATTTTTTGTGGATTACTCCATATATTAGAGCAGCAAAATAAAAATTTACAAATTATCTTCCGGTGAAATAGACGCGAATATGTAATTGAGTACAGATAATCAAATAAATTGATATGCATAACAATAAAATTCTATTGTACTAATTCATCAAAATTGTAGGAGTTAGACAATCTTATTATAAATTCCATTAAATTACTATCTACTAAAAACTGACTCATGACCTACCTTTTCCTTCATCATAAATAACTTCCATAAAATCTCCTTTAGCAGAGAACATTTGAACCCTAGAATCAGCAACAATAATTTCTCCTAAAGGTCCCACAGCAACTGAAGATATCAGGTTAAAAGTGCCTTTTTTTCCTACCTAAAAATAGTCAAAAACGAATTAAGATATGATAGCTACATGAACCATATAAATAGGATTATGAATGTTTAGTAAAATAGCTTATTCTTATTAATGATCCGAAAAGAAAGTAAATATACATTTTTTTTAATTCCCAAATTATTTTTTCAAAATAACACCTACGAAAAATATTTTTAAACCCAAAAATGAAAATAAATTAAATGTAAAAGGTCTTATATTGTGCATTATAGTCACATTTACTTGTATAGTAGTGTGGTAACGATAGTATTGTTACGGTAACTAACTGAAGTGGATCAACTCTTAACTGAACGCTTCTCTCATGTGTGTTTTGTTTTATGATTCAATCTCTTGTGATATATCAGTGACGACCAGTGTTCCTCAAGGTTCCCACATTGGTCTCGCCCTATTTATATTTTTTATAAACGACGTAACATATTGTGTAATAATTGGCATTATTATGAAAATATAAAGAATTTAACAAAAATTCTAAATAATTATTTTTTAATGTTTTCAAAAGAAAACGCACGTATTGCAACAATCAAAGAATTGGGTGATTAATAAATAGTTTATTGTTCCTTCGTAGAAACATGAATAAGGAGACAGTATCAGTTAAATATTTAACAAATTATTAAATTTACTTATATATGATAACATAGTAATGTTGATGGTAGTAATGAATCCAAATCGTTTGAATGACTCCAGTCTCTCAGTAATTAAAGAATTTCTTAAGGTAATATACATTGGGCAGTATGAAAGGAGAGAAGTTTAGATCTTCCCTTGGCAAGGATGGAACACGAATTAGGTTATTACTCTAGTCTTACAGTTTAAATAAAGAGACTAGTCTGGAGTAAAAAAAATACTCGAGTAAGGACTGTTGTCCAAAACTCTTGCCGAAAGGCGAGACTCTCGTTTCAAGACCTTATAGGTCCCTAATCATCGTAAAGTGTAAAGTAAAATTTTGTTCATCGATTATGTAATGTAGGTAAATATCTTTAAATTATTTTAAAAGTATTGTTTTTTTTTTGATAATTAATTGATTACATAGATGTGTCAATTTTTACATTTTCGTCCCGAGTATCATATTTATCTTACATATTATATCATTATATATTTTGTCATTTTAATAAGTCTAAAATATATAATTCGATAGAAAGTTTATCTAGTCATAAATCATAGGTCTTTATTCAAAGTTTGGATATATTATCAAATAGTGCTTTATTCCCTAAATATAGTTTGATTCATTTATTCTTGAGACTATTAGTCATTTTGTACTTATTTTAAATATACATTTGTTACTGTTTTAATACTTATTATTATTCTCTCCTTCGCTTTCCAAAACCCGTAATGAAATATTCCGAAAATTTGTGAAGCCTCGGCGTTTCCACCACAAAATGGACTAAAAGAGTCTATAACTATTTGCCAAATCAGCTCGACTTATGCTATTATATAAGGGATAATTTTATCTTTTTCTAATTTTGTTTTTTTTTTATTATTTTTATTTACCACTGGTGAATGGATGTTCCTTCTGGACTCTAGGGCTCTTTGGCTGGTGACAGTGCTGCCTTCATCCCTTAATAGTATATTGACAACATTAGCTAAAGATCTATTCCTTGAACCAAATGGGTCTTTAAGCTAGTTGGTTGTTTTACAGTGGTGGCTAGCGGTGTTTTTTGTTAATATTTCACTGGTAGGAAAGAGGAGAGAAAGGGTGGAAATCACTATTATTTGATAGACATTTTTCTGGAATTTTGAATTTTTTTTGCAGAGGATAAGTACCTAAGATGATATAATTTTGTAAGAAATTAGTTGTTTAAATAAATTTTATTGCGAATATTATATAAACATGAGGTTGGATTACGAATGCCTGAAATTGAAAATAATTTTATAATATTTTCGCTAAGTATCTATTTCAGAAAAGTGCATTGCCACCAGTTGTCATAGGTCAGCATAGGTAAACTTATTTCAGTTAAGTTTGTATACAGCGACGTACAGAAAAGGGGACAATGAAAAAATTGGCATTTTTTAATTATTTTTTTTTTCAGTAGTATAGTTTTTTAAAGTGCGGATTAAAAATATTATTAAAGATATAGGGTTGGGGGGTGGGTTGGCTCAGTGGTTAGAGTCATGACTTTGAGATCGGAAGGTCTCAGGTTCGAATCCCACCGTTGGCCGGGATTTTTTCATTTAATTATTTAAAATTAATTCTGATGCCTTGGTAGGATTCCCCACTCGACCATTCACTGTTGGGTTCTAATTAACAGTGCTGTTCCTAAAGTGGCGCTGGGAAACAGTAACAAAGCCTACACAGAACACGAGGCTAATGGCCGTAGTAGTCGACGCCGATGACACCAAATAAAAAAAAAAAAAGATATAGGGTGTTATAGATTAAAGATGTTTACCAAGCCAGCAGCAACAGAGTTTCAGGGGGTAGAGGACGTGTTCTACAGGCACAAAAAGAAGAAAAGACAGGCAAAAGTATAAGATGTGCGACTAAGTAAATCTTACAGGATTAGTGTATGTATAAAGTTTGCTAGATACGCCACTGGCAGATTTCGTAGAATGCCGATAGCTTATGTATCAAGCGAAAATAGGCATTGTAATATAGAATTTGGAAGTGAATAAATGTTTTCAGTTTACGTGGTACCGGCTTATTATTTTAACCCTTTAATTATTGTAGGTAACATCCCCAATACATCACACATGATTTAAAGAGGTTTGAACTGCCCAAAAGAAGCAGATTAAATGGTGATTAAAAGTGATTAAATATATTAATATTGGAATAATGTGTTTTAGATATTCGACAAGGAGCAGCAGAGTTCCAGGCGGAAGACAGGAAAAAGAAGAAAGTTTGGGACAATGGATCGAGTTATTTTTCCGATCAATCCCGAAGCAGTGTCCACGACAGGACAACAAATCTACACACAGTGCTACCACAAATTGGAGGGAGTTTGGGGACAAATAGGTCGACGTAGTCTCCGATCACTAACGAACATTTACAAATAAAAAAAATATTTTAGGTTATTAAGACAAAATAACTAATTTTAAAATAATTTATGACTTTTAATAATTTTTAAAATAAAATAATCGAAAAAAAAAAGAAAAGAAGTTAATTTCATTTTTCCCGATCCGAGAATCGAACTTCAATCCTCTGCGTGGAAGGCAAGAAAACTAACCACAAGACCACCTACTCTTTTATTTCTGTTGCTTTAATACTCGTAATTAAATTGACTTCATATAGTTTTATTTAAATTAATAAATTATTTATAACTATAGACGAAATAAAAAAAGAAAAATGCTATTATTTATTTATTCTACACAAGAATAACCCATTTTTAGGTATGTTTAATCTCAATAACTAAAAAATATACTGACAATTAGTTTGACAGAATTGTCACTTATTTAAAATTTTAAAAATAATAGCAGTCGTTTGATCAAAATATGAACGGTGATTGGCGGATTTTATTTTTTTGCAGTGTTCTCACTACCTAGAATGGAAATGAAATATATTCGTTTAGTTGAAAAACATATTTGTTTTAGTATCTTTAAATATGCTTTTAGGGTAATTAAGTATAATTACTTAGTATAAAAATTATTTTTGGTTGTTGAAAAACCCGACATGTAAATAATATGTTGTTATAGGGTAACCAAAAGACGTTGCCACTGCACAAGAAGAAGGAAAAGAAGAAAAGGTCAATCGTACTACCTTTGCTAGAGTCACCATCAGCACCGACTTCAGGACTGTCACGAAGTCCAAATCGTGATAGTTATCAAAATTCAGGACCGTACCAAAGCATTCCAGGGTTCCACGATCTATGTAGGAAAATGGGCCGAATTCCAGAACTCAAGAATCCAAGGCTGCAAAGGGAGTGCTGCATCTAAATCCAAAATAAAGAGCCAACCAGTATCACCAAGACATGCCGCCAAGGGAGCTTGATCTGAAGTTGGGTCCATTTTTGAGTCTGTGGGAGCCAAATTCACAGCATGAAGAAGATGGATACAAATGCAGAAACAAGGGACCAAAGATAATCTATATGGAATGGACTGAGGTTCAAAGAAAGAATGGTCTCATTAGTCCAGTCAATAGGGACCTACCAGTAGCAGCCAAGTACACTGCCGTGCTAAGCACAAAAGAGGTAACTGATTTTTTAAAGAAAAATGAGATTTTGATTATAATACATTAAATTATCAATTTTCAACATTATTATTAAGTTATTTAGCATGAAAAGTCAATATTTTATTTTAAAATAGATCTATAAAAATAGTCGTATCTTTCTTTTCTACCTCAAATACTACGTTAAAGTGCCGTATCTGCAAAAAACTAAGCTTTTTTATTGTTTGTGAAATATCCTTAGTATTTTTCAGATACGTCAAAAATGCTTTAGTAAATTTGTTAAAAATTTCAGTAAAGTTAAAGTAGAAAAGAGAAAATTGGCGTTATTTTATAAAAATTCATTTATGAACCCAGATTACAAAATAGTTAATTTCCTTAAGGTGAAATTAATCAAAGACGGTATTTTAGAACCAAATAAGAAAAATTCTGCTAACGGAATTTCCAAAGATAAAAAGAAGTCTTCAAATGGTATTATACCAAAAACTAGGTTAAAATTTTAGGAAGATTTAGCGAAAAATGATTGTGAAGATGTTAACAATGAAGTAGAAAATTAAAGTACTGAGAACTGATATTACAAAGAAATTTAATGCTGTGAAATTCGATTATCATCTGTAGCTTTTATTTTTCCTTCCTTTTTTTGTCATTCCTTAAAATTGGTTAATAACAAAATTAATTATTATAACTAGAGCCTCTATAATAAAGATTTCAATTTATAAAACAAAAATAAAATTATGATCATTAATTACATACGGCAATATGCTGTAGTAATAAACAATTGAAAAAATAGATTAATAAGTGGTAAGTTGAAAAGATTATGATATTTATATTAAATCTTTAAATATCTTGAATAAAATTTGAAAAAATCACAAAATTAAAGTATTATCTTTCAAAATGACTATAAACAGTCACACCTGAAACTTTATAAAGCCGATTTTCAGAACTACAAAGTTGACAAATCGAAATATCTAAATTTCTCGAATTCAAGATTATTACAGTTACCACCTTTGTGCTTAGCACGGCAGCACTACAGCATTATATAATAGTAGCCTCACAGAGTAGCAAGCCATAGAAGCAGTCCAAAGCAGTAAGTCAACCAGAGGGTCCAAAGCCATAGTTTATTAGAAAATGAATAGACTACCTCAGCGGAAAGAATTCGTAACCTCAGCCAAAAGGGTTACATAGTACAGCAGCCCAGGGACCAAACCAGATCGGGAAGGGACCGTTCCAGGATGGTCAAGGAACAGGGGATGATATGTGACAGCCAAAGAGCAAAAGGTAGTTACGGCAAACCAAGTAAAGAAGTGAAGCGAGCGTAAGGTTACCATATATTGTTGTAGATAATTTTGATAATTGTTGTAAATTATTTATATTAAGGGTTTTAAAGAGAATTGAACAAGTAGTTCAATTTGATTTCTGTCGGGGGAATAATGTAATAATTTGTATTATTATTACTTTCCTATCTGTATACAGATAAGGAAAGTATAGGAATCATGATTTTTTTCTACCTCCAGTTTTCGACGGATTTTTACGTTTTGGGGCCCCCTGAATCCGTTTTGACTATTTTCGGAATGATGTGTGTGTGTGTGTGTGTGTGTGTGTGTGGGGGGGGGGGGGGGGGGGGGGGCGTGCGTGCGTGTGTCTGTATCCACCATAACTCATGAACCGATACAAAGAAAAACACCAAATTTTAAACTTAAGTTTTATTCTGACGTCCAATGAACTGATTAGAAATTTTGGTTTTAAATAGAGAGAAAAAAAGACTCGAGTAAGGACTGTTGTCCGAAACTCTTGCCGAAAGGCGACTCTCGTTTCGGGATCTTATAGGTCCCTAATCACTGTAATGTGTAAAGTAAATTTTTGTGCAACAATTTGTGTAGTGTAGGTAAATATCTTTACTTATTTTAAAAGTATTGGGTTTTGTTTTTTTTGATAATTAATGGATTACATATATGGAGGGTTCGAATCCTACCCAGAGCCATTTCTTAATTAATTTGTTTTTAATTTTAATACACTTAATGGAACTTTTACTCACTAGGAATTAAAAAATTTACTTTTAATATACTTAATGGCACTTTTACTCCCTATGGATTAAAAGTACAATATATGTATACCATATATTGGAAAATACAGTACAAAGTACAATAGAAGTCAACAATATAACAACCTTGCACTGACATCGTTATTGTTTAATTATTAGAGTACTGTTAAGTGGTTTTTTTATAATTTTCATTATTCTTTTTATGAATTGTAGCCCTCCCTCCAGCCGGACTACCTACAAACTTTTCACCTGGAGATAAAGATGGTGTATAATATAATACATATTTCATTATTTCGTAGGTTTAATTTTGATAAATATAGTAATAATTTCTAAAGAATTTATATTTACATTATTATCAGTAATATTGTGAAGGGTAATTTGGAAGAATATATTTAGCATTTTCTAAAGAATTTATATTCACATTATTATTAATATTATTGTATTATAAATGGTTGAAATTTAAGAGATACATTTATTTATTTTAACATTCAACAACAGTATAAACTTACTTGGAATAAAATTTTTCCTTCAGCATCAAAAACAAATACACAGTTCATTCCATTATCGGCTATTAAAATATGGCCATAATTTTGATCCACTGCTATATCGATAGGCTCCTGAAAAGCGTTATAAGTAAAAGTTTTTTTAGTTTCCCCATCGGTACTCATCTCAGTTATATATTTTGTTCTCCAATTAATAACTATCAGACCATCATTCATTATAGCAATACCTAAAAACAAATTATTACTAAATAAACAAGATCTACATCTGGTACTTTCAGTTTACTCACCAGTAGCACTTCTTCCTAGCAAACCCTCGTTGGTTACATGCTTAATGCACTCTAATTTTTCACTTAAAACTATAATTCTAGAATTGCCTGTATCTAAAACGTACACAGTCTGGTCTTTCTCATCAATGGCAACGGCAACTGGTTGCATAAACTCGTCTTTTCCACTGCCTACAAAAATACACAATCAAAAAACATTAGAATATATTAGGTAATATTTACCTCTTGATCCATACACGGCAATAGGATTATTATGGTCACTGACGTCAAAATATAGAGGGTTGTCTTTAATGGGGCGGTTTATCACAGAGATTTTTATTCCATATCTACCGGATTTCACCGTTCGAAAATACAGTTTGTAAGTACCATCATTACAGTCTTCAATTCTCACTGGGTAGTTTTCTCCGTATTCAGGAGGATTTATACTAAAACAGAGTACATAAATGTACGGAAGCATAGAAAAGCAACAAAATGTAATTTTTTTTAATCATTTTAGAACCATGAAAAATAGATTTTCTTGATTTACAACTCGAAAAAATCAATTTCTCCTCTTCTGGGTCAGAAAAATATTGTCTTACTATATACCCAGCTAGCACATCAAAATGTTGCCAAGCCTTTCGGCGATGTTGTTTTAAGGGAAGTTGTTGAGGGAAATCAAAACCTCGCAAAACTTCTATTTGTTACTTACGTATTTAACCTACCTGTTATGATAACACAACGTAATAAAGTAATTTGCTAAAAAAGTATCCACGAGAAGTACTTTGAACATCAAATTGTTTTCGAACGTAGCCATTCGTTTGTCATAAGTCAACAAAACAAAAAATGTAACTTGTCACTTTTTCTTGTAGTATGTATTTGAGATTTTAAAGAATTTGTAAACTATTTGTATACATTTGAATAAGTTTGGTAAGTTCTTTTCTTCTTTTCAATAAAATAGAAACATATTTTCTAATTTATTGTCTGTTGTTTTAGATTGCAATATTTCAGTTTCCAACTATAATAAAAAATAAATCATTGTAAACGAGAAGATACAATTAAATGACTGCCTACATTTTACACGATAATAGGGATCTTATCAATGCCTCGATACTATAGAAATAACGATATTAAACAATGAAAGTATCGATATTTAGGAATTGATACTGAATTACAAATACTATGACCGTATCGATACTTAGAAGCAAGTATCGTATCGCTATGTATGTGGGTGTGGTCAGGGTCACCTAGGATAATATAAGGTTTGTTCAAATATGCGTAAAGCTTAATTTATAACCGCCGTAACGTAACTTAAGAACTTAACGTAAGAAGTTGAAATATTGAATTTACGTATACTTATTTATAATGTTCTTAACGTAACTTAAGAACTTAACGTACCGTAGAAAGTTCGCCAACTTTTAACTTAACAACATAACTTAACTTAAGACCTTATGGTTAGCCAATGAGATAATTCTGCGTTCAGCATGTGATAACTGTCAATTATTCTCTTTTCATTTTTTTTATAAATAAATAGAAAAATACCATTTGTAAACTATCATTCTCCTTTTTGATGGACATACATTATCATGAATGATTTGTGTTTATGTTATTGGGGAAAAACTATCTATGAGATATGAGTGTAGCTGCATATACCTATAAACATCAAGTCTAGAACTGAAATAAGACACAAAACTTTTTTGCTAGGAAAGATTAAATTCTCATTATTGCTCAAAAACAATCAACATCTTCGGTAAACTATTTTGTTTTATTATATTTTTATATTATTGCTTTTAAAGTAGTTAATATATTCTTTCTATATAGCAAAATCATAATTTATAAGTTTTATTTAGAGGTTAAGTACATAGTTTACACTTGTTTATTTCATAAAGTTGTCAATAATTTGATAATCTCTGAAATCAACAAGCATGCTCAACTCTTACGTTACGGACATTTATAAATAGACTTTATTTTTATATCTTAGGTTAAGTTTCTACGGCGTTAAGTTAAGTTATGTTACGGTGGTTATAAATTATACTTAAAAACCGTAATATTTACGGTACAAATTATGCGCTGAACCTAAAAATTGCACACAGCGCACGATTTGTACCGAGATATTATTGTTTTCGCATGTGGTGGAACCTGAAACAGACCTTGATATGATTAAGCGTTACCACTTTTTGTTTTGTAATTTAATTATAAGGTAAATTGCCAGTTATTGACACTATAACTTATACCAGTACCAGGTTGAGTACCAGTAAAGAAAGAAAGGGGGTCGTCATTAACAACTGTCAACTACATAATAGGGTTTAGGACATTTGGACGTCGCCGTTTCGGCGTGGCCATTTCGGCGTGGCCATTTGGACGTCTGGCCATTTGGACGTCAGGCCATTTCGCCGTCGGCCGTTTCGGCGTCGGGAATACTATTTTTTAGTATGTATGTTAAAACCACTATAAGTTTTATTATGAAATAAATAAAGAATTGAAATAAGTGAGGTATTGCATAGGAATGAGATAAATGATAATAATAATAATATTTATTTCCAATTAAATTACACTTTTCCAGATACACATATATATAAAATGAACGGAAATAAATATAAGATCCATAGAAGCCTGTATGGCTAGTATATGTTTTCTCTAATATATTTCTGTTTTTTTTTTATATTGATGTCTATTTTATTTTGTATTGAGTAACCTAAATATTCATTTGGAATATTTTCAACATTTTAGTTTAAATCAAAAATTCAAATTAGTCATTAAGTTAAACATTATAAATTAAATATCGTATTTTAAATTAAAAATTAAATAGTTCGAAGAAAACATTTTAAATTAACGCTTTAAATTAAACGCTTTAAATTAAATAATTCAAATTAAACACTGTTAATAAAATATATAAATTTAAACACTTCGAAGCAAACATTTCAAATTGAACACTTTAAATCAAATACTTTAAGTTAAATAACCTTATTTAAATATTCTAAATCAGAGACTCTAAATTACATATTTTAAATTAAATACAATAAATATTTGAATATATCACTGTAATAAGAAGTGCAGAAGAATTAAGTGAGGTACGTATTTTATTTTTTATTCGAATTTTATTTTCTTTAATTAAGGTACTTTTCTAAATTATATTAGTATCGTTTTAAATTATTCAGATAACTTACTTGTTCTCTTGGTAGTTGTACCTATCAGAATTATATTAGTAGTGTTATTAATATTTTATATGAACATTAGTGTAATAATAGTGAAGTAAAGAAATTGTTCAAAATTTGCAACCCAGAGTAGGCTTCTTTGAGACATACGAGAGAGTACAATGCTGATCCACAATTATCTTTAAATTGCAGAATGGTGATATCTTTGGCATTTGTTCATAGGATGATTTAGATTAAGCCTTTGATGTTCTAGCGGAAGACCTACCTGCCGAACAGCAATAGTATATAGACATTTTATTTTAGTCTTCCTTTCGACATGAAAACAGTTTTATTATTTAATTATAATAAACCTAAATATAATAAATATAACAATTATTTAAAATTTATAAAAATTAAATTGTTAAGCTTGCCAAAACTTTTAACGCCGAAATGGCCAACGTCGAAATGGCCGGCGCCGAAATGGCCGACGTCCAAACGGCCACGCCAAAACGTCCCATTCCCTACATAATATACTTTACCGATGCAACTTTTGTTTTTAGTTAAGTTCCCCACTTGGCCCTGTTGAAAGGGGGTTGTCAACCGTTTAAAAAAAATCTCTTACTTGTTTGATATTTTGTTACTCGATTCTTATAAATATCGATATCTTTAACATAATATCGATGCCTCTACCACAAAGTATCTCACATGACACCGGTATCGATACCTTTGACCTATACTCATAACCCTACTCCCAACTATAAAAAATAAAAAATACAAAACAGAGAAGTCATCTACTGCCGTCCTAGCAAGAAAGGTCCTATCTGAAAATTTGTTGTTTCGAAATAATTGAGTTTTTAACTATTTTTAGCAGACATATTTTTCGTTTTTTTTATACACATTATTTTCTTTAATAATAGTTAAACAAGTAAATTTATTACCTCCTAAGTTATTTTTCACAGAAGAAACTATATAATTAAGTTCACATTTATATTAAAACTATGATTAGTACCAGTTGTAGGTAAATATCTCTTTTTAGCATCGTACAACTGTCTTCTTAATAAAAATCTAGTGATCTTTGAAATATACCTTATATAAATACACTTTTTACTACTTTTGTACAATCGTTCACCATTTTAGCTACTAGTGAACCTTTGCAATATAGGTACCTTATTATACTCTTTCGTGCAATCATTCTGTTTTCGATTCTAGTGAACCTTTGAGATATTCCTTTATACCTACTTTTTCCAATTTTTCAGTGTTTTATAAGCTACCTTATGGTATCACACATGTGAAATTGTGTTACATTGTGATATACCTATATTATTAATACCTACCTCTACTTGTATGATATTGGTACTTTATTTCAAAAGTTTTTTAATAATAAATTTATACAATTTTTTATTTTGTTTTATTCAATATACTATTTTAGTAGTGTATCCAAGGATGGACATAACTATACTTGTAAAGATATTTATTTTAAATTTTTCATTAGGTTATATATTAGGGTTACATTAAAAGTACATTGCATGCGAGCTTAAAGAGCCTAAAATTGCAGCTTATTATCGTAGATGGCATGTTTTTGTGCTAGCTGGGTAGTTTATCCTTATAGTACGTTTACATAAGTTTATCTTAAAATATCACAGATCGTGTGTTTTGCACTGAAAATTATAGTTACGTCTATAGTACAAAGTGTACAATGTTGTTTTTTTATGAATAACCGGAATAACCTGAACTTTATTTCATTTTTGGATCGTAGAGACTACGTAAATATAAAAAAGATTCATCTGAAAAAGATGGTTTAAAGTTTTCACAAAAAAGCGTTCGAAAAACTTATTCTGTATATTACTAGATAAACTATTTGTCTGTACAAGACGAAGTAGTACTCCAATATCAACCAGAAAAGAGGCATGCATGCCTAGAGTGCTTGAAAACATTATACTTCAAAACATATAAAACCTATTTTTTTAAATAATTGTACCGGGTAACCAAATAAGGACCCAGCTTTATAACAGAAACCGTCTACGATACAGCTTTCGAAAAAAAAAAATATGAGGTATTATAAAAGCATTCCTGAAATTATTATAAATATAGCGGCGTCTATCAAATTTAAACTAAACGTGTTTTAATTAAAAGATATTAAAACATGGCGCAGCAGTCAAATTAAATCGTTGCCTAAGTTTACAGGTGCATATTTTTTCACTGATCGTGCCGGGATTGTGCACAAAGACATTGCATGCTTTAATCAAGTTTATATAAAAAAAAAAAAAAATGGCAAATATTGCTTCATTCAAGTTTTTCGTTATAAAACAATGGCA